AAAAACATATCCCTCGCACTTAAAACTCGTGGTAGCTACTTAATAAATGTTTATTGAATTGAATTGAATTGACAGGCATGAAAAATTCCCAGCTAACATCCTACAGGAAAATACAAGCAAGGAAAGAAATAAGTAATGACAACATAATGTGAGATGGGAAAGAGCACTGATCATCACAAATCAGGAAATGCTTCCCTAGAAAGTGACACATGAGCTGAGCCTAGGAGGCTGGAGATCATAAGAGCGAAAAGCAAGCAGGGAGTGCTTTGGGGGTTTAGTCAGCAAACCAGAATGGCTTTGCAGATTCCAGCCTTGGGAGACATTTTTCTCATAGAATTAATGCTGACTCAGAGTGGGGCTGAAGGAACAGACCAGAATAGCTTCACAAAGCCCAGGCTTGCAGACTAGGTTTTCTCTAAAAGAAATTAACACTTCTCCCATAGCCCCCCACAAGTATCAGCCAATGGAAAGCAGTTCCACCCAGCAAGAACACACAGGAGGGAATACACTCTACCAAAACAGAGCAGCAACTATTCTGATACTTTTATTCTTTTCTTTTTCTTCTTTTTTTTTTTTTTTTGGCCAGGCAATACGGTTAAGTGATTTGCCCAGGGTCACACAGTGAGTAAGTGTCAAGTGTCTGAGTCCACATTTGAACTCAGGTCCTCCTGACTCCAGGGCCAATGCTCTATCCACTGCACCACCTAGCTTGCCCACCCTTTTAATTCTTAGAAAGCTTCTTGAATCACTGAAAAGTTAGGTGACTTTCACAGGGCTACACAGCCTATATGTCAAAGGTATAACTTGAACCCAGGGCTTCCTGCATCCAAAGTTGGCCTGCTAAGCACCATGCCTTACTTAACTCCTTACTACTCCATTGTTGTTGTTCAATTGTGCCCAACTCTTAATGACCCCGTATGGCATTTTTTTTGGCAAAGATACCGGAGTGGTTTGCCATATCCTTCTCCAGTGGATTAAAGCAAACAGAAGTTAAGTGACTTGCCCAGGGTCACACAGCTAATAAGTGTATGAGGTCACATTCAAACTCAGGTCTTCCTGACTCCAGGCCCAGTGCTCTATCCACTGAGTCATCTAGCTACCTCTTACCCTGCCTATTGTAGAAGTTCAATAAATGCTTGTTGGATTGCAATGGATTAGAAGCCACCAGATGACCTACCTTGGTACCCACTCACCCAACTCCTATCCCCACAGAGGGCACTTTTCCCATCTCTTGACCTAGATGCAAAAATTGTCCAGATCTGAAAAGGAAATTAAAGATGATAGGGGCACCACCACATTGAGAATGCAAGACCCAGAAGAGTCAGACAGGGATTGCATCAAATAGAGTAACAGGCCTTGGCAAGGAGCAAAGCCACCTTTTGATCAGAGGCTGATATAAAGGAGGAGAAAATTGGGGAAGAAGTGAAAAGATTTTTAGGATTAAAATGGAGGAAAAGGAGAGCTCATGATGAATCAGCCTCTCGTTTCTCATTAAAGTAGGTAGCAAAATAAGTATTACTGTATAGGGGGCTTTAAAAATAATGTACATATGAATTTGAATATGTATTTTATATGCACATGCCCCCAAATGCAATATGTGCATTCATATGCATACTTACATATGTTTAAATATGTGTAAAAATTATACACACATATTTAAATCTGTCTACTACCAATTTGTATCCTGTGCAGCACCGGTGTCATATGAATTCAAAGAGTCCCTAGTAACCTAGGTGGAGCCTGGGTCTTCTGTCCTGACAAACAAACATTTAAATGACAGGGAAACAGCACAGTGTGAATGTGACCTTGTCAGATGCTTCTGAAAACAGGATATTTCTAGCAGTCCTAGAAAAGAAGATCTAAAAAAGATTTCAAAAAAGGGCCCAGGGAATCTATTGAACATTTTAACACCAAATGGAGGGTGACAGACAGAGGTCTCAGTGAGTACCTATGATGAACAACATCTCAGGCACTCATAGCGAGGAAAGGAAGGGAGATTTTTGTGATTTCTTTCGCATATTCAGCAAGATATGGTAATTACTAGGAAAGAGAATTCCACCCCCACCCCTACCCTTTCTTTCCTCCTGACTGCTAAAGATTTGAATCAATGAGCCTTTTCTAAGGTGATGGTCTTTAACCACGATTAAATATTTCTTGGTATTTAAGCAGAGATCATTTACAAGGCTCTCTGTAGGCTTACATGACAAATGAAGAACTCCCAGAAGGTCAGGACTGGCATATATAACGGAGATGATGAGAAAAGATTATGGGCAGTACACAGAGTTAGGATGATGGGCAATACAGCACCTTGTGGTTCCATGGATGGAGTGCTAGGCCTGACATCAGGGAGACCTAATTTCCAACCCAGCTTCAGACACTTCCTAGCTGTGTGGCCCTGGGCAAGTCATTTAACCTCTGTTTGCCTCAGTTTCCTCATCTGTAAAATGGAGATAAAAATAGCATCTACCTCTCAGGGTTGTTGTAAAGATCAAATGAGATATTATCTCTAAAGTGCTTAGCACTATACCTGGCACATTATGAGAACTGTACAAATGCTTGTTTCCTTCATCTTCCCTCCTTAATAGGACCATTGATTTAGAACAAAATGATACCTTAAGATGCCATCTACTCCAGCCCTTCATTTTAGAGATGAGGTCCACAAAAACTGAGATCTAGAAAGATTGATTTGCCTAAAGTCACACAGGTGGTTAAGTGGTAGAGATGAAATTCAAACCAATGTTCTCTGACTCCAAATTGAAGGTTCTTTTGATTGTGCCATACCTATATAGCCAGCAGATAATAATATTAGTATTAATTAATTTTTTGGAGGCAATTGGGATTAAGTGACTTATCCAACGTCACACAACTAAGTAAGTGTCTGAGGCCAGATGTGAACTTAGGTCCTCCTGACTCCAGGGCCCATGCTCTACCCATTGAACCACCTAGACACTCATTAATTAAATTTAACAACAAATTTACTTAATAATAGCTAGCAATTATCTGGTACTTTTAAGGTTTGCAAACCGCTTTACAAAGTTAACTCATTTCATTCTCACAACCACCTGGAAAATGGGTTACCATTTTACAGGAAACTGAAGCAGACAGCAGCTAAGCAACATGCTCAGGCACACAGCTAGTTAAGTGTCAAAGGCTGGATTTGAACTCAGGTCTTCTTAACTCTAGGCTTACCACAATATCCACTGCACAACCTAGCCAGGCTCACATCATGATGAACAATAACAAATCTGAACATGAATTCAGACTTATACAGCCCTACTAGTATCATATTGTGACGTCACTTGATTCTCACAAGCACCTCTGTGAGAAAGACTGAGCAGTATTCTGCTCCCATTTTAGGGAAGACAGAACTGAGGTCCCAAAATGTTAAGTAACATGCTCAAGGTCACAGTGATGACTAGCAGCTAAGAAGAAGTTGGAATCAAGTCCTTTTTTCCTCTGTGGCTCTCTCTGGCCTTTCAAAGTTGTGAGAAGCATGATTGTGTTTTGATGGTATTTTATAAAGAAAAGTTCACATTTACATAGTGCTTCCTTTGAAAGACTGCTTTCCTGAGAATAACCAGTGAGGTAGGCAGTAGAAAGATTTATATTCCCATTGTAAAGGTGACAAAACTGAGGCTCAAAAATGTGGTTTACCTGTGGCAACATAGTTAAGAGACCACAATTTCAGGATTTACACCCAGAATCTCTGACTCAGGTGCCAAGGAGCTGCATGGCCTAATGAAAAAAGCACTGGAATTTGAGTCAGTTCAAGGATCTCCATACCTAAATTTCTCTTTACTGTTGTCAGCCTCAGTTTCCTTGCCTACTAAACTACAGGAATAGACTAAATGATCTCAAAGGTCCCTTCCTGTTCTAAATCTTATTAAATAAAACATTTCCATTCTGCTACCCTGTAGGCAAATATATTAAATGCCAGAAAGTGGACAAGGCCACCAGGGATTCATTCTCAATGTCTTTGGTCCTTTTTGCCCAAAAGGTATTTGCAGATGAGTGTGTATTTAATTTGGAGCATGAAGCCAATGAGAACAGGGATCATTTTCATACAATTTCATCATATAAAAACTGAAGGAAAACACAATATCTATTACTGACAGGTTGTTAAATATTCATTCATTCAACAACTACTCATGAGCCCTTAGCAGATCTTCTCTTAGTAATATTTGCATGTGGGGCAGCACAAACCATGCTAAGAAAAATGGTACTTACTGTGCTAGAAAAAAAAAACAACTTTTTTTCTAGGTGGAGAAGGAAGGAGCAGGGAATAATGCAGTGTCTATGGCAACGCACCCACTTTAGCCATAATGCTGCTCTCCCCTCCCTTGACCTCCTACCTATACTTTATTGGGTGCGTGATGGTATGCTCTAAATTTGAGTGCCCTGGGGCAAAGTGCCATTTGCAGCTCTGCTACCAGCCCCATCCAGTTAAGCCCTGTGTCTGGTAAAAAGAAGGCAGCAGACACTATAGCAGAATGACAATAATTTCATAGTATTTTAATCTATAGTGGCATATACACAACCTGCAAAAACAGAGTTAGCTGTCTTTATGAAAGTGATTTCATAATGCGGATTCCAAACTCTCATTAATAGGAAATCAGATGGTGCAACTATCTCTGAACACCTTCTGACAAGATCTATCACCTTGGATTTTCAGTAAAAGGTTATTCTCACACAGGGATGACAAACCTATGCTATTGCTGTGCAATTACTGACCTTGCTCTGAGAACGAAAAATTAATGTTTGGGGATACAGTTACCATTTTCCCATCCTTCCATATTGATTTAACCTATGGAGTACAGTACTATTCAGAATATAAAATGGTCTTTTTTTAAAAAATGTAGTCCTATCATTCATTTACAATCTATCTGCAGTGGGTTATGATGGTAATTTGTGGGACCCAGCTACTGCTAATAAAAATCAATAATTATAGAATAAATTATAGAATAAATAAAGAAGCTTTTAAGAAAAAAACTCACCTTTTTTATAAATACTGATTGAGTAATTTAGTGGGTCTTTATATATGAGTAGATACAAATTCACAATTTCATGTTTCTAATATTACTTCAGGACCTAAATAGCAGAAAGAAAGAAAGAACAGAAAGAGCATTGAAATTGGAATCTGGGCTTTGGTTAGAGTTCTAATTCTGACATTTAATAGCATTTAATATGACTGGATATGTCACCTAACCTCCATAAGCCTAAACTTCCTCATTTGTAACATGGAGCTAATAATTCTACTGTGTGTGGATCAGATGAGAATACATAAATATATACCATGTGAATGTTCGTACTTATGTCAATCAATCAATAAACATTTATTAAGTGCCTACTATGTGCCAGGCACTATGCTAAGAGATAGGGACACAAAAAGAGGCAAAAGACAGCCCCTACCCTCAAGGAGCTAACAATCTAATAGAGGAATTTAAATCTAATCTAATTTAATCTTATCTACCGATCCATCTATGCCTTTATAGTTGTCAAGTACTATAACAGAAAGCTAATAGGGACTGGACCTACAATCTCATTGGTAAAAAGAATTCCCAGCTAAAGAAACTCCTCCTACCAACTGCAAGTGAGCAACTTCTTTGTAACTTAGAGTTATAGAGATTTGCTTAGAGCACTGAGGTTAAGCAAGTTGGCCACGGTCACACAGCCACTCTGTGGTAAAGGTAGGATTTGATCCCAGGTCATACTAGTCTTGAGACCAGTTATCTATGCATTAGGCTACATTGCCTCACTTGTTTCCCAAAAAGGAAAATGTTGAGTCATGGAGGCCATATTGTTTCTCAAATTAGTATCTGACTGAGAGTTATTACATAAAAGATGATAAAGCAATGCTTCTTGACCAGATTTGTCAAATATGACCTTATGTGGCCAAAGCAACAATGATTAGAATTAATTTCCTCCATCCAATTCTTTAGTCTGTTCTCAGAGAGAAAGGCCATCACTTTCCCTTGAGCTGTTTTTTTTAGAGGTGAGTGTAAACTGGGGAGGTGGGTTAAAATAAAGATATGTCATAAGAAAAAATAAGTATCTTTGTAAAAGCTAATTATCAAGATAATTAGTTTCTGCATTAGAAATCGTGATGTTCGATTTGACAGTGGAATTTGTTCAAAACATAGATTAGGGCATTAAACAGCCAACTTAATTCTTCATTTTGTTAACAATGGAAAGTAATCTTATAAAATGTCAGTTTTCCTACTTATTTCAATTTTCTTAAGACATATGTTACAATAGATTGCAAAATTTATCCATTAGCACTATCTACCTAATTTTTAAAAAGAAAAATATGGGTAAATGGTTTCCACAAATATTCATGCTATTTAGAAACTGTTAATTAAATCCTTAGTATTTGGATCTGCATCCAAATAGCTTCTAATTTTCTCCCACATGACTCTTTATCACATATTCTATGTTCTAGTTGAATTAGAGCCATTCCTTTATAGGGGTTCTTAACCTGAGGTCCATGGACTTTTTTTGTTATTGTTGTTTTATTTTTTAAATATATTGATTCCTCTATTTCAATATAATTGATTTCCTTTGTAATCCCATATATTTTCTTTTCTGCATTTAAAAACATAATTCTGAGGAATCCACAGGCTTCACTAGACTGCCAAAGATCTTCATGAGCCCAAAAAGGTTAGGAACTGCTGAATAAGATCATTCCCACTACACCAGAGGTTGAGATATTAGGATCCAAATGAAGAGATTCCAAAGTCATTGATAAAGAAATGTTGGGCAATAAGTTTTATTTTGGGCTATTTTTGTACCATCAACCTTGAGCATCATCTTACTCCTAGACTACTGCAAGAGCCTTCTAATTGGTGACAAATCTGTCCTCATTCTATTCCATCCATATTCAGCTGCCAAAGTGATTTTCCTAAAGTTCAGATAATAATCATGCCACTCCCACCTACCCTATAAGCTGCAATGGCTCCCTATCAACTACAGGATTTTTTTTTTTGCCATCCTCCCCCATGATCAGAGATGGAGTGGCAACCCCATCCTTTTCTTCCATTCTTCTAGTTCTCATTGTTTATTGAGGAGAAGCATAAACATTTGCAAGTCATCTACTTCACCTGTTTTCCCCTTTGCCTGCACCAAGGGGGTGAGAAGCAGTAGTGGGAAGGAAGCTGGGCTCACAAAAAGGGAAGTCTCTAAAGCTCTGACTTCTCCAGACCACTCTGGAAATGAGGAGTTGGGCTGGCACACTGGCACAGGGCTGAGAATGAACAGTGTCTGCCAAAGAGAAATACTAAATAATTTGTTGCTGAGTGTTAAGATAAATGAAACTTCTCTACCTCCTCATCCTCTACAAAGGATGTTGGTGCAAAAGTTACATCTTCATGATGCTTTTTTATTTTATTCTTATAAGAAACACAATATTAGCTTGTCATATGTTAGTTTCTTATTGTCTTTGGGTATATGATGAAACTAATTTTACCAGCTCATTTATTTGTCTCTTAATTAAACATATTATGAGCTAGGATCATACTAGACCCCAAGGATACAAAGGCAAAATTAAGAGTCCCTGCCCTCAAGAAACTTATATTCTATTGAAATAATAATACATACATTTAAAAGTAGATTTAAAAATATATACACAAAGTACATACAAGACAAACACAAAGTAATGAGGGTAGTGGGGTAAACTCTAGCTTCCCCGGGATTATGAGGGAAGGCCACCTCTAAGAGGTGATACTTGAGCTGAGCTCTGAAGGAAGCAAGAGATTCCTAGAGGCAGATGTGAGAAGGGAGTGTGCATTACAAGGAGCCTGGGAGCCATCCTTTCATTTTGCCAGAATTTCCTTATATCTTCTGCCTTCATTTATAGAGGATTTTAATAATGATATGGCTCAGTTCCATCACTAGAATGTCAATTCATTAATTTTGGACAAAGATTTCCCATTTAAAGTTAAGTGTATGTTTACAAATTGTCTAAAAAATGGATTTCCACTTCTTTTTACTGTTTTGACCAGGATTCAAAGCCACATTTCGGCCTGAGGGGATCTTGATTGGTCATTTTGTTCCTTGACAAAGCCAGCTTCTCTCAAAGGAGTTAGTTGCTATATACTTGCCTTTTTTCTTGTCACTTCTTTGACAACTCATTTGATCAGGAAAAGAAAGTATCTGAATTTCCACCCCTTAAAAGCCATTTGCTCTCATTGGCTTTCACCAGGGCATCTCAAGAGGCCTTCACAGAGGCAGAGACCTTAAGCGTGTTAACACAATAGAATTTATTATAGCTATCTGTGGGAAATTTAGAAACTGAAAACCTAAAAGGAGCAAAAGAAAACATCAGAGTAGCCTACTTACATTTTTCAGCACGTGTTAATATGAGCAGAAAACATTTACAAGTTTTCATTTTACAAGCACATTAATTATGTGAAATTAGAAGCACAGAGAGTGACCCATTAAGTGCTGATTAGACAATAGTATCATGGGCTCTAGCAGTGCTGGTAATAAGAGCCCTAAGTTTACCTCCAAAGGGAAGAGAGTTCATTAAAATTTTAATTTGTTTCTCAACAGTTCAATTATAACATGCTTAATGTGCCGGACATTAACCTTCAGGGACCTTAACACAATTATAGGCCAAATCCAATATACCCATCTCTCTTCAAATTTGTTTTCTCAGAAGAAAAAAAAATATTTCCAACTGTTCTCTGACAGTTTTCAGATGTCAGAGTCTTAATAATTCTTTCTTTCCCCTATCCAGACACACATTTTTTTCTTTTCACAACTTCCTTTGGCATTTTCAGAAATACACTGGAAAGAAAGTGAAAGTTGTATCTGTCACTGGCAAGTCAACAGGTCAATAAGCAATTATCAAATGCCTACTCTGTACCAAACACCATGCTAAGTGCTGGAAATACAAAAAAAAAAGGCAAAAAAGTCCCTGCTCTCAAGGAACTTATATTCTAAAGGAGAAGACAACAAGCAAACAACTGCAAACTAGAATTGGAAACAATCAACAGAAGGAAGGCACTAGCATTAAGGGAGATCAGGAAAGTCTCCTCCAGAAGATAAAATTTTAGCTCAGACTTGAAGGAAGCCAGGGAAGGTGGAGGTGGAGAGGATGGAGAAGAGAATTCCACACGTGGAGGACAGCTAGTGAAAATACTTAAAATTGGGAAACGGAGTGTCTTGCACGAGGAACAGCAGGGAGGGCAGTGTCACTGAATCATGGCATGTGTAGGAAGATTTTTAAAATGGGAAAGGGCTAGGTTTTGAAGGGCTTTAAGAGCTAAACTGAGGATTTTATAGCTGATCTGGAAAGTAACAAGGAGTGACTAGAGTTTATTAAATGCCTATTACATGCAGAGTTCTGTGGAGGAAATATTTTAGAGAAGTCATGGTTTTTACCACTAATGAGCTAATGGTCTGGTAGGGAGATAAAATAAACATAGGTCTCTAAAACATATAACACTGAATAGGAGTTACTAAACAAATTTCCACATAAAAGTTAGAAAGGAAAGGGAGATTGAGTTAATCTTAATGGAAAGTTAGGAATTCATTATACAAATAGAGGGAGAGAAAATCTTCCAGACATGGGAACCATCTCAAGTAAAATTACAGCTATGTGACAACATAGTTTATGACTGGGGGAGACATATCAAGTGTGGAGGAAAGCAATATGAGATAGCCCTGGAAAAACAGGGTATGACCAAGTGATAAAGGTATTATGAAGTAGGCAATAGGGAGATATTTTTAGTAAATCTCAGAATATTTTTGAGTAAAGCTGTGGTCTGCTCCAACTAGATGTATGAATAAGAAAGATTATTCTGTTACTGATAAGAAGGATGAACTATAGAGAGCAGAGGCTAAAGGACCTTAAAGGACACTGTTGCAGTAAGAATGTGGCAGATTCAAGAGATGTTGGGAGAATAAATTGATTGGACATAAGAGGAAAAGAAAGAAAAGTCGAATATAAACCCAAAGTTATAATGAAAGATTTGTGAATGCTGGTATCACAAACAGGGCAAGAGATTAAGACCAGGTGAGATTGGTTATGGACATGTTGACATGGACAATGCCTCAGATCTTAAGTCAACCACTTAGAGGGGAATAGT